GAGATTTGAGCTGATATTCCAGAGCACAACAGCCGCCGCAGACGCTTCTCCGTCTCTTTCGTCCCGACATGACTAAAGTTGATAAATTCCACAAAGCTGAAGTGTGTAGAAGGAGTAATCCTCGTTTTGTAAATAAAATGATTAAAGGAGAAACAAAAAATGTAAATAAAATGATTCAAGGAGATTAAAAGGCGAAGCAAAAGCAGAGCAGAGAGACACACGACTGCTCTCTTGAGAAGCAGGAAGCATTTATAGTAGGTGCTGTTTTTCTACTTCCACAGGCCCGGAGTAAAATGTGAGCGTTCTGGCCAAAAAGAGCTCTGCGTTCAAGAGTCCAACAGCAGAGGGGAAGAGGGGAAGAAACTGTTCGGCCTCGAGCTCGGGCGACGTACAGGTCCTGTAGCGATGGAAGACTGCGGCCAATCACTTCCTCTGCAGAGCGCACAATGTGCTGTAGTCTCTGTTTGTCCCTGACTGTGGCTCCAGCGAACCACACGGTGATGGAGGAGGTGAGGATGGACTCGATGATGGCCGTATAGAACTGCACCAACATCTGTGTAGGCAGCTTGGCTTTCCTGAGCTGCCGCAGGAAGTACATCCTCTGCTGGGCCTTCTTGATGAGGGAGCTGATGGTCGGCTCCCACTTGAGGTCCTGGGTGATGGTGGTGCCCAGGAAAGGGAAGGACTCCACAGAGGTGATGGGGGAGTCCATCACGGAGGGTGGGGGCGGGGGGACAGTGCTCTTCCTGAAGTCCACAATCATCTCCACTGTCTTCTGGGCGTTCAGCTCCAGGTTGTTACCACTGCACCAGGACACCAGCCGGTCCACCTCCCTCCTGTAGGCGGACTCATCGTTGTCATGAGTCCAATGAGGGTGGTGTCGTCCGCGAACTTGATCAGCTTCAAGGAGTCGTGGCTGGAGGTGCAGTGGTTGGTGTACAGGGAGAAGAGCAGGGGAGAAAGAACACAGCCCTGTGGGGCTCCTGTATTTATAATCCGAGAGTCCAAGACATTCGTCCCCAGACGCACTCGCTGCTTCCTGTCTGTCAGGAAGTCAGTGATCCACCTGCAGGTGGAATCGGGCACGTTGAGCTGGGAGAGCTTGCAGGGATGGCAGGATTGTGTTGAAGGCAGAGCTGAAGTCCACGAACAGGACCCTGGCGTAGGTCCCCGGGGAGTCCAGGTGCTGTAGGATGTGGTGGAGGGCCAGATTAATGGCGTCGTCTACAGATCTGTTGGCTCTGTAGGCGAACTGCAGGGGGTCCAGGAGGGGGGAGGTGAAGGACTTGAGATGGGAGAGGACCAGGCGTTCAAATGACTTCATGACGACAGAAGTAAGTGCTACAGGTCTGTAGTCGTTGAGTCCTGTGATCCTGGGCTTCTTCGGGACGGGGACAATGATGGAGGATTTGAAGCAGGCCGGGACACGGCAGGACTGCAGAGAGGTGTTGGAAATGTCAGTGAACACAGAAGTAAGCTCACTGGCGCAGTGTCTCAGAGTGGCCGGAGACACGTGGTCCGGGCCAGGAGCTTTGCGGGGGTGTGTTTAATCTCTTTAGAGGCTATTGTTGTATATTGGGGGCAGGGCTGATGTGGGTCGTTGGGGGGTGGGGGAGGGAGAGGTGTCAGGGGCAGCATCAAAGCGACTGAAAAATAAGTTCAGTTCGTCAGCTAGCTTGTGGTCGTCAGCACAGGGGGGGGGCTTTGGGCTTGTAGTTGGTGATCTCCCGTAGGCCCCTCCAGACAGAAGCAGCATCGTTGTTACCAAACTGCTCCTGTAGTCGTTCTCTGTGACTTGGCTGCTTTCAGTTCTTTCCTGAACTGATATTTAGCTGCTTTGTAGCCGCTGCGGTCCCCCTCCCTGAAAGCAGACTCCTTTGCTTTCCTGAGCTGCCGGAGTTTAGCAGTGAACCAGGGTTTGTCATTGTTATAGATGACCCTGGTCCTTGTTGGAATGATGCTATCCTCACAGAAGTGAATGTATGACGTCACAGTGTCCGTGTATTCATCCAAACTATCTGTGGCTGAATACACGGACACTGTGACGTCATACATTCACTTCTGTGAGGATAGCATCATTCCATCATCAACTCAATACTATTCAACTTTAATAGAAGCAAATAAAAACAAGCCTAAAATTCCAAGCTCACTGAGCAGTGTCGATTTTCTTCACTTCTTTAATGATGAAATTACATCCATCTGTGAAAAACTGGAGGAAACCACTCCTAGTGTTGGTAATGGACAGGCTGAAGCGTTGCACTTGATTTCCCACCTGGATTCTTCAGTGGGCCTCGACAAGTTCACGGCTGTGAGCCAAGAGGAAGTGATCTCTGCGGTCACACCTTCTAAAGCCTCAACTTCCCGGCATGGCTCTTTAAAGACACACTTCTTTTGATAATAGAGCCTATCTTAAATAAAATAAACGCATCCATACAATGTGGCTATGTCCCACAAGCTTTTAAAACTGCTGTTATCAAACCCCTTCTGAAGAAAACAAACCTGGATCCGGAACTACTTACAAGCTACAGACCAATCTCGAACCTTACTTTCATATCCAAAATCCTGAAAAAGCTTATAGCTAAACAGTTTTGCTGCCCCCTGCAGAAAAAAAATGTTTTTCAATCAGGATTCAGAGCTCATCAAAGCACTGAAACGGCTCTAGTTACAGTCACAAATGACTTACTACTAGCTGCTGATAATGGACAAGTGTCAGTGCTGGTCCTACTGGACCTTAGTGCTGCATTTGACACAATAGACCACAGCATTCTACTGCAGAGGCTAGAATGTGATATAGGTCTTAGAGGAACAGCCCTTGGCTGGTTTAAATCCTATTTATCGGATTGGTATCACTTTGTCAATGTGAATCAAAGCTCGTCACCCTACTCTAGAGTGGAATTCGGTATGCCCCAGGGATCAGTACTTGATTCTTTTCACACTCTATATGCTACCGTTAGAAAACATCATTAAAAAGCATGGAATTAATTTCCACTGCTACGCAGATGACACACAGCTTCATCTGTCGATGAAACTAAATCACTAAGCCTTTATGCAGGCACTATGCAGGCTTAGTGCTTGCATAAAGGACCTTAAAACGTGGATGACTCTTAAGTTTCTACTGCTTAACCCGGAGAAAACAGAAGTGATCCTACTCGGTCCGAAGCGCCTGCGTGACTCCCTCGCCGACCAGATAATCACTCTCGATAATGTCAGTATTATACCCAGTAACACTGTGGGGAATCTCTGAGTCATTTTCGACGAACAACTCTCCTTCAAGACTTATATAAACCAAGCAACTAAAACAGCATATTTCCACTTGCGTAACATTGCTAAAATCAGGAATTTCCTTCCTAAAAATGATGCGGAAGAACTAATCCTCGCCTTTGTCACCTCAAGACTTGACTACTGTAACGCTCTGCTGGCAGCGTGGCCTAAAACCTCTTTGAAGAGCTTCCAGCTTGTTCAAAATACATCAGCAAGGATCTTAACAGGCACCAAAAGGAGGGAGCACATAACTTTTGTTTTAAAATCACTCCACTGGCTTCCTGTGGAGTACAGAATAAAGTTTAAAATTCTTATCTTGGCATACAAAGCCAAAAATGGCTTGGCTCCCTCTTATCTTCAAGACATGTTAAGGTCTTATCAACCAAGCCGAGCACTGCGCTCGCAAAACGCCAGACGTCTGGTGGTTCCTAAGGTCTCAAAAAGCACTGTCGGCGGCAGTGCATTTAGCTTCCAAGCTCCTTTACTGTGGAATCAGCTCCCCACGGACGTTAAGGAAGCAGACACTGTCTCTACATTTAAGGCCAGGCTTAAAACACTCTTTTTCAACTTGGCATTTGGTTAGTTTGTTTGTCCGGTCATGTTTCGTCCAGTCTTGGGAGTCTGCGTATATGGGACCCAGTCCGCTGCATCTTCAACACTACGTTCTAGGCTAGGCTAAAACAGTCTAGTTTAGTTTAGGCATATGGTTAGGAAGGCAAGACTCAGGGAAGGCTAAACTCCTCAGACTGTCAGTCAACCTGCATAGGGAGTCAGTTTGCTGGGAGAAGTATGGTAACTTGAGCACTATCCTCTCCTCCTTCCTACTTTATCTTTTTAGCATTATTAGGATTTTGACTGTAATTCATTGCTATTCACCCATTGTTTCATTGTCTGTTTCATGGCGTGAAGGCAGGACCTCTGAACCTGGCCTCCTCCATCTACACCTGCGGACTTCCCTGCCCGACCCGCCTGGGAGTTCCTCAGTCCTGCACTGGACCTGTCCACGTTCAGCGGCCACTGGTCCAAGTCCTGTAGCTTAGGTCCTGGATCTATAGCCCGTCTGTCCGTTAGGAGTGGATCCCTTTCTCAACTAGTGGGTCTCCTAGAGGTTTCTCACTTTTTTCCCACTGGGTTTTTGTGAGTTTTTCCTTGCCGATGCAGGAGGGTCTGTTGGACAGTTTGTGTCCAACAAAAAGAATGTGGTGATGATCCAGGACACTTTAACATTCTACAACATGTATGGACATTTTTTAACGTGTTTTTAAATGTTTTCTATATTCTTTATGTGTTTTAACTGTTGATTCTCTGATCTGTGTTGGTGATTTCAATGGTTTTGTTAAGTCCTCTGAGATGACTTCTGTTGTGATTTAGGGCTATACAAGAATGAATTGTATTGTAAATTGTATTGTGTTGTGACGGAAACCGGATTGGACATTTTCAAAGAGAGTGAAGGTGTGGAGGTAGTGTTGGACTCGGGTGATGACGGCACGTTCTAGGATTTTTGATAGGAGAAGGAGATTTGAGATGGGGCGGAACTTGTCCAGGTTGGGTTTTTTGAGGAGTGGCTTGATGATGGCAATTTTGAGATTTGGAGGGACAGTACTGGTGGTGAGGGAGGAGTTGATGATGTTTGTGATGAGTGGGGTCAGAGAGGGGATGCAGGATTTTAGGAGAGGGGATGGAGTGGGGTCAAGGTGGCAGGTGCCTAGTGTCATGTTGGAGAGGAGCTTGGCTGTGTGAATTGGAGTGGATAAGCTGAGAGAAATAATCAGAACGGGCGGATTTGAGAGCGGTGTTGTAGGTATTGGTGAGGTATTTGTAAGATTTGGCATGAACAGTAAGATCAGTCTTGGCATAGAGTCTTTCAAGCTGTCGCCGTTTCTTCTTGAGGTTGTAGAGGTCTGGGGTGAACCAAGGGGCAGAAGAAAAGGAGGAAAAGGAGACTGGCCATTTTGAGGGGAGCAAATTGCTTCAGGCAGGAGGAGAGGGTCTGATTATAATGGTCAATGAGTTCTGAGGTGGATGAGACAGGAGGGGGGCGAGAGGAAGAGGATAAAGTATTAGATACAGAGGAGGGAACTGAGGGACTTTAGATAGCGGTATGTTATTGTGCGTGTTTGTTTGGGAGTTTGACTGGGTATGGCAATATCCACGGTGACGGCTAGGTGGTCGGAGAGGGTGAGGTCTGTGTGTGTGATATTTTGGATTGATAATGAGGCAGAGAAGCAGATGAGTTGAGGCTGGATGAGGTTTAGGCAGTTTAAAAAGTCCAGAAAATCAGCTGCAAATTTAGAGTGTGGATTATCAACATGGATGTTGAAATCTCCAAGGAGGAGAACAGAGGGAGAGATGGAGGAAAGCTGTGTGTAAAAGCCTGCAAAGTCTGAAAGGAATTAAGTACAGGTTTTGGGAGGGCGGTGTATAATGGAAGCGATGGGAGATTGTGAACCAGAGAGAAAACCAGGTGTTTGAATGTGGTAGTGGCAGGGATGGAGATGGGCC